CTCCAGTAAGAGTGACCTCTCGCCGGAGTGGCTCCGGGTGCGGGCTCGCATGGGGTCCCCCACCCTCGGCGCAAGCGCTTGGATGGGGCCCCCCCCCCTCGCGGCCCCCTGAAGCCGCGCACCAAGAGGTCACTCTTGATCAGAGGCCAGCAACATATGTACACGTACGCGATTAGCTTCCTCTGGAGTGCGTGTCAACGCGGACGTTCGTGCAGGCAAGACCGCGGAGGGCGTATATGTACATATGTCGTTGCTCGCCCACTTGATGGGCCAATTTTCCACCACCACTGCTGCCATAGGTAGGATGGGGGACGACAAGGGAGGATAGGGAGGTCCTCCTCCTCCTTTTCGCTCTGCCACCTAGGGTAGTGGTGGTGGAAAGTCGGCCCATCAACTCTTGCCTCGGGCCACTCCTGCGTGTAGCCGATCTCGCGTCGGCCACACGCAGTGGTGACGCCTCACCAGACGACCACTATTTGCCTGGTGCGGAGGGGAAGGAAATGGCGGAGGAGGATAAGGAGATGTAGGAGGATGACGAGGGATGAGGAGGAGGAAGAGGAGAAGGAGGAGGAGGAGGAGGAGGACCAGTGGAAACCCAAGAGTTGTCACTGATGTTGGAATAAACCCTTCCTCCAAGCTCCCTCCTCATAGGCCCCTACAACGGTTCATTTCCACTGAGGGACCAAACTCGTTGTAAGACATTTGTTTGAAGACCCTCAAGCATGTCAAAACGCTGTTCTCCGGATTCCAACGACGCGGATCAACCTGACTGTTGCGTCTTGACGATGCCGAATCGTGCCAGATCACAATTCTTGAGATTACACAGCAAACCAACGTAACTGTTACACCCTCTTAATCCTGAATCCTTACGGAAGCACCATCTTTGGTACGCTGATCATGGGAATCCGTGAAACTCTTGCAGATGTTCAAACGGATGTGCGCGGCGCTAAGGCGAGAGCCACAGTTTGAAAACGACCCTGCTTCAATCCGTGAAGCTCTTGCAAATTTTAAAACGAATGTGCGCGGCGCTAAGGCGAGAGCCACATTTTGAAAACGACCCTCCCTCAATCCGTGAAGCTTTTGCAAATTTTGAATACGAATGTGCGCGGCGCTATGGCGATAGGCACATTTTGACAACGACCCGCCCTCAATCCGTGAAACTCTTGCATATGTTAAAAATGATTGTGCGCGTTTCTAAGGCGAGGGCCACATTTTGACAACGACCCGCCGTGAAACTTTTGCACATGTTAAATAATGAGTATGTGCGGCGCTAAGGCGAGAGCCACATTTTGAAAACGGCCCGCCCTCAATCAGTGAAGCTGTTGTCATTTTGCAAGCTTCAGGGTCATGAGTGATGGGGAAATCTCAGGCGAAACGCCCGGCCCGCCGAAAAAGCTGGCCTCGGGGTGCGACAGGGAGAAGTTATTTCTATGGAGAAGAGATGGAGGGGGAGGAATAGGAATAGCTACACGACGGTGTCAATGGAAGGGGAGAAGTTATTTGCAAGGAAGTTGCATCTAGGACACGGAGGGGGAGAAGTGATTTGCAAGGAAAAAAGAAATGGAGGGGGAGGACTAGGAACAGGAATAGCTACAGACGTGCAGACCGTGCGGCCGCACTCGCAACCAGCGGGACAACTCCCTGGAGAAACGATCCAGGTAAGCCCTCGTGGTGTCGCTCGGTGAACGTGTGCGCTCTAGTCCGAGCCCCGCTTGTAGGCTAGTCGAGCAGTAAGGCCCGCAAGCCCCGCAGGGCCTCGCGGGGGGGCGGGGTCACGAGTCGCACGACCTGAGGTGTAAGCGCGCACTCCGGGATGATGATGCTGATGATGTTGCTGCTGCTGCTGCTCATGATGATGATGATGATGATGATGATGATGATGATGATGCTGACGCTGATGCTGATGATGATGCTGCTGATGATGATGATGATGATGATGATGATGATGATGATGATGATGATGATGATGATGATGATGATGATGATGATGATGATGATGATGATGATGATGATGATGATGATGATGATGATGATGATGATGATGATGATGATGATGATGATGATGATGATGATGATGATGATGATGATGTGATGATGATGATGATGATGATGATGATGATGATGATGATGATGATGATGATGATGATGATGATGATGATGATGATGATGATGATGATGATGATGATGATGATGATGATGATGATGATGATGATGATGATGATGATGATGATGATGATGATGATGATGATGATGATGATGATGATGATGATGATGATGATGATGATGATGATGATGATGATGATGATGATGATGATGATGATGATGATGATGATGATGATGATGATGATGATGATGATGATGATGATGATGATGATGATGATGATGATGATGATGATGATGATGATGATGATGATGATGATGATGATGATGATGATGATGATGATGATGATGATGATGATGATGATGATGATGATGATGATGATGATGATGATGATGATGATGATGATGATGATGATGATGATGATGATGCTGATGATGCTGATGATGATGATGATGATGATGATGATGATGATGATGATGATGAGGCGGATGCTGATGCTGCTGCTGATGATGCTGCTGCTGATGATGATAGCGAGGATGCTGCTGCAAATGATGATTATGATGATGAGGATGATGAGGATGATGAGGATGATGCTGTTTGGGGTCCTTTGCTTGGCTTTGAGCCTGGTGGGGGTGGTGCTGGTGGGGACGTGGGTCTAAACAGTGATGCTGTAGAGGCGCCAGTTGCGGCCACGGAGGTGCCGCTCCCGACTTCAGCGATCGCTGAGCTTCCAACCTTATCACCCCAACAGATTGCTAGATTGCACGGTTTCGCTACTCCAGAGGCGCTTGTTGCTTGGGAGAGTGACCAGCGCCGTCGGGAAGTCGATCCGGCTGATTGGGATGAGGAGGATAGCATAGGCTAGCCTCCTGTTTTTGGCCTGCGTGCCAGGGGGTGTAGACCCACCCCGCGTCATCAGTACCCTCAGTACCCTCCCCATCTTTCTCCTCCCCCTGCTCTTCTTCCTCCGCCTCTCTACAGGATGAGGAGGACGGTCTCATCTCCCCCATCTCCGTTTTATTCCTCCCTTTCCTTTTCCTCCTCCTCCTCGTCCTCTTCCTCCTCCTCCTCCTCCTCCTCCTCCTCCTCCATTTCCTCCTTCTCTTTTAATTCAGTACCTCGCTGCGGCTTTCGTGCTTAGGTGCCGTCGGGAAGCAAAAGGGAGGAGGGGGAGGAGGAGGAGGAGGAGGGAGGAGGAGGAGGAGGAGGAGGAGGGAGGAGGGAGGAGGAGGAGGAGGAGGAGGGAGGAGGGAGGAAGAGTAGTAGGAAGGGGTACGCTGTGAAATGGTGTGGGAGATCTTCTTCCTCCTCCCCCTCCTCCCATTCCCTCCTCCCCCTCCTCCCCTCCTCCTCCTCCTCTCCTCCTTCTCAAGCCCCTCTCCTCAGTTATCCCTCATCCCTCATCCCTGCTCCCTCCGCCCTCCACCCTCCTCCCTCACTCTCTCCTTCCCTCCTTATCCTCTCTTTCTTTCCTCCCCTCCTCCTCCCTCCTTCTTCTTCTCCCTCCTCCATCCTCCACTTCTTATCCTTTTCCCTCCCGATCTTCCTTTTCTTCCTCCCCCCTTCTCATCTTTGTAGTCCTCCTCCTCGTTCTTCCTTCTTCTCATGGTCCTCGTCCTTCTCTCTGCCCTCTCTTCCCTCTCACCTCCTGCTTCGCCCCCGTCGGCTCCCCAAGGGCAGGGTGCGATTCTTCGACGCGGCCACCCAGCGTGTCGAGATGCTGACGGCCTTCCTGGAGGAGGCTGCGGTTCGGACTCGACCACCTGCTCCTGTCTCTTACAGCTGGCACGATGGTCCCCTAGCTTTGGAGGGGTACCCTTCTGTTCTTCCTGTCTGGGTCCTCCACCTTGGGGGTGCACTTCGCTTGGGTTCTCTCCATGGGTCCCTGGGCCCCCTGGGCCTCAAGCGAAGGGCTTCGTGTGCTGGACCCGCGTTGTCGTGGCCGTGCTTCTGCTTCGGCTCTGCCCTCCTTCTCCCTGGAGCTCTAGGGTCCCGGCGAGATTCAGAGCGGCAGACTCCTGTTTCGGCTTCCGGTTTCCGTGTCCTGGCCCCCGTGGCCGGCAACAGGCATCCGCGGCGGATGCAGACGATTTGGTCGGGATCGAAGAAGCAAAAAACGCCATAGACAGAGACTTTTGGCACTCCGCGCGGGTTTCTCGGATCGGCGCTGGGCCCCCCTGGCGGCGCCTCCGGCGCCGCCCCTGGTGCGCTCCGCGCGCCGGGGAGGGGGGTCCAGCGCAGATCCAAGAAATCCGCGCGGAGCGCCAACAGTTTATATTTATGCCGTTTTTTCTCCTTCTACGTGAGCTGCTCCAGGGCACGGCAGGCCGAATTCTGTCGGGGCGTCGGAGGTGAGGGGCAAGCCCCTCTCTCAGAGCTGCCAGCGCGAGACCAGGGAGGCGGAGGTGAGGAGGCAGTTGCGGCCCGCGCGGAGGGGCAGCGGCTGTGTGCCGCGGCGGGCCGAGGGCGGCGGCAGGGGCTGCGGGGCCGAGGTGCCCGCGCACAGAGAGGCACGGGCAGGGGCTCGGGCAGGGGCACGCGCGCTGCCGTGGGCGCGCGCGGGCAGCGGCGGCGGCACGGGCAGGGGCGGCGGCAAGGACAGAGGCGGCGCAGAGGCGGAGCCGGAAGCGGAGGCGGAGGGGGTGGGCGAGGGCGAGGGCCGCCGAGGGCCGCCCGGGGCCTCCGAGGGCCTCCGGGGGCCTCCGCGGGCCTCCGCGGGCCTCCGCGGGCCTCCGCGGGCCTTCGAGGGCCTCCGAGGGCCTCTGCGGGCTTCCGTGGGCCTCTGCGGGGCGCGCGCGCGCGCGAGCCACCCGCGCGCGGCGTCGGCACGCCGCTCGGCGGGGCTCGCAGGGCGCGCGGCCTGTCCTCCGCCGCGGCGGCGGCGGCGCCCGCGCGTCCAGGCGCGCGCGGGGCGCGCGGCCTCGCCCTGCCAGGCCAGGGTGCAGGAGCCGCGCTCGCAGTCTGCATCATCATCATTCTCAACATCGTTTGCATCATCAGCATCATCAGCATCATCATCATCACCATCACCATCAGCATCATCATCATCATTATCATCATCATTAACATCATCACCATCTTTATGTTTTTAATTATCATTATCATCATCATCCCCACCATCATCACCAGCATCATCATCATCATCATCATCACCATCACCATTACCATCATCGTCACAATCATCAGCCTTATTCTCATCATCATCATCACCACCGTTATCATAACCATCATCATCATCACCATCATCATGACCGTCATCAGTATCATTACCATCAGCATCACCATCATCATCATAACCATCCTCATCATCACCATCATCATCCTCATTCTCATCATCATCACCATCATCATGGATATCAACATCATCACCATCATCAGCTCCATCATCATCACCATCATCATCATCTTTATCATCATCATGATCCTCATCATCATCACCATCATCATCATCATCACCATCATCGTCATCATCACCATCAACACAACCATCATCATCATGTTCATCATCATCATCAGCATTATCAGCATCGTCGTCATCAGCATCCTCCTTATCATCATCCTCATAAGCGTCATCACCACCATCATCATCATCATCACCATCACCATAGCCATCATCATCATCATCCTCATCCTGGTCCTCATCATCACCCTCCTCATCATTATCATCATCATTATCATCGTCATCCTCATCCTCATCATCCTCAGCACCATCATCATCATTATCATCATCATCCTTACCATCAGCATCATCATGTCATCATCCTCATCAGCATCATCGTCCACATTATCTGCATCAGCTTCATCATCATGAACATCATCATCATCCTCACCATCATTGTCCTCATCATCATCACAAGCATCAGCTAAAGCATCATCATCAGCATCATCCTTATCATCATCATGCTCTTCAGCATCATCGTCATCAGCATCATCCACCTCATTATCATCATCCTCATCAGAATTAGTATCATCATCCTCTTCATCATCGCCATCCTAATCATCATCATACTCATTATCATCATCATGCTCATCAGCATCATGCATCATGCATCATTATCAGCATCATCATCATCATCATCATTACCATCATCACCGACATCATCATCAGCATCATCATCATCCTCATTATCATTGTCATCATCATCATTATCATCCTCATCATCATCTTCCACATCATGGCTGTCGTCACCATCATCATCATCATCATCATCATCATCATCATCATCATCATCATCATCATCATCATCATCATCATCCTCATCCTCATCCTCATCCTCATCCTCATCCTCATCCTCATCCTCATCGTCAGCCATGCCGTCGTCACGTCTGTCCTCTTCCAGTTCGCGGAACAGCCGCAACGCACGCTACAGCAATCTGTGGTCTTCATCTGCCAAATTCTTCCACCTCGCCGGCGTGCAGGTCACCCACGGCGATGGCGACTCCAGCATCGAGCGTGACCCCAGGAACCAACAGGAGCTCATCCACAATTATGGGGCGAAGCAGTTCCTGGCTCAGCAGGTTTCTCCGGAGGCCCAGCCACAGCTTCTACAGCATTATGGGCGCCGATAGGATGTAGGTGGGCTACGTCCTCCCGACACCTCGGTCTATTACGCCTACCGGAAGCACCGCGGCCGCTCCGCTCTGGGCCCCGATGGCATCCCGTACCCTGCTCTTCTGAATTCCACTGTCATTGAGGCTATTGCCGAAGTGGCGGAATTGTGCTACCACGGTATTCTGCCGTACCGTGCCATGGCCTACTCCTCGCTCGCCACCCCGCCCAAAGGCCACCATGAGCATGATGCGGTTGAAGTTGTTCGACCTCCTGAAAGCCTTCGTCCCCTCAGTGGCCGGAACGCCGACGCAAAAACGGTTGCGGAGAGCCTGGCACTCACGATGAACCCGTGCGTCACCAACCAGGCTCCGAGCGAGCAGCGGGGCTTCGTGAAGCGCCGCCAGTTCACGGACAACATTGTCGAGCTGGACGTCCACATGGTGCAGGCGTCGTACCGGCCACCGGGTATTTTCCTTCCTGCTGGCCTGGCGATGGATTACGGCACAGCCTTTGTTTCCACTGCCCACAGCTGGCTTCTGAAGATATTGAAATTTCAGGGCTGGCCCCACTTCGTCATCGGTCTGTTCCACTCCATGTGCGACTTTGCAGCCGCGGTCATCTTGATCGACGGCGTCTGGGTCCCGAGCTTCATCGTCGATACCGGTGCCCTGCAGGGCGACCCGCTCAGCTCGATATTTTTCGTTCTCTGCACTGGCCCCCTGGTCTTCGGCCTCTGCGCGGCTGGTCTCCGACAGGGGCATGTTCAGGATGTGCGCGGATGATGTGGGTATTTCTTTATTCAAGCAGTGACGAAGAGTCCTGGCTCGCCTATAGCCCCACCAAACAATGTTCTAAGAACCGTTTGTGGTTTCCACGAAATGTTCTTAGAACATTTCTGGCTGGGACTGTCTTGTTTTATCACATTGGGCTTATGTTCTAACAACATTGTTTTTGTTCTTATTGCATTTTTGGGTTCTAAGAACATTTCGTGGTACGACTATAGGAATGCCGGGACGGTCGGTCTCTGCTCAACATTCACGATCTGTATATTTTGGTCAGGCGTGCGACTGGCTTGGCTGAGAAGCTCAAGAAGTGCGTGCTGTCGCCGACCGGAGCTCGCTTCAAACCCTTCCTGGTCGACTTAATCCGGGACTGGCTGAATTTCCAGGTGCCGAAATGGGCAACGATGCGCATTGCGCCTTTCTTCGAATATCTGGGCATGTTCTTGGGACAGGACGCGGGGGTTCAGCAATGGGCCAAACCCACCGCCAAGTTCTTGCATCGTCTATCGTTGATTGGACCTTCGCACGAATCCGTGACGCAAAACATCCTGGTTTACAACATCCGCGTGCAGACAGCGTTGAGCTACACGTTGCAATTTGTGGATCCGCCCGCAGTGTTAGTTAACCGACAGGATTCAACCATTGCCAAACTCTTTCGCTTTCCGAGAGAGGCTGTTCACCCCTTGGCCGGCTTCTTTATTGACCAGTTCGGTTTTCCGAAGTACACGTCCATCGAGTGCTACGGCTTGTCCATCATGTCGCGCTTCGCCCTGACTACGTGCACCTCTTGGCGGGCTGCGCTTGCCACCACGAGGGCCCTGGCTGAGAACAACACGGGTTTCGCTCACGTCATTGGTTCCCTCACGCACGTATGGTGGAAGTCCCCGCTGCTCGCTCTGAATCTCGAGCGTGCTGCGGATTTTCATCCTTCGTGGCAGCGCCACGGTGTTGGACATCTTGCAGCCGTCTGCCGCGATTGGTGGTCCGGGATGCTACCGCGTCAGCGTCTTCAGCGTTCTCTCCAGGCCGCTGTGCTACGGGAGTGGTGGGTATCCGATTGGCCCGCCTTCATTTTGCAATGCTGGCAGAACTTCACGAACGATGACACGTTGTCGAGCGCTGATGCTGCTGCCGGTATCCGGTCTGTTACTAGGCCGCAACGCACCCTGATCTTGAGGACATGGTGCCACGGCTGGTTTTCAATTCGTCGGATGCATGAGCCTGTCCGCCATGCTTGCTACATGTGCGGGTTCCCGAATGCGGACCAAGGGCGTTAGTTCATCTATGATATGTTTTGGGAACTTTTCGAAGACTGGCCGGGATCGTCTCCTTTTTCCGTACGGGAGCGCCTTGGTTTGACTTCGAAGTCCGGCTTGCTGCCCACGGCAACGGTGCACAAACTTTTTCCACACCATGAAGGGCCACCTCAACCGTGGTGGTCGTTTGTCCGCGGTGCGCCACAGTGCCGCGTGCGCCGCGCGCCGCGCCTGCGCCGAGCTTCTCTAGTCAGCTGATCGTTTCTCTGTTGATCCGTGGTCATCATGCGCATCATCATCATCTTCACCATCCTCCTCATCAGCATCATTCTTCTCATCCTCATCCGCATCATGCGCATCATCATCCTGGTCATCATGATCACCACCGTTACCATCCGCATCACCATCACCATCACCATCATTCTTCAACACCATCGTCATCATCAACATCATCGTCGTCCCCATCGCCACCATCATCGTCAGCATCATCATCATCAACATCATGCTCATCATCCTTACCCTCATCAGCATCATCATCGTCTTTGTCATCATCATCCGCAGCATCATTATCATCATCATCATCATCCTCATCAGCGCAATCAGCTTCGCCATCCCTCCCAGTGTCGTCATCATCTTCATCCACATTATCAACATCATCCTCATCATCAGCATCATCTTCATGATCATCATTGTCATTACCACCAGCTGCAGCAACAACATCAGCATCATGACCATCATCATGATCTTCCTCATCATCATCTGTACCAGCATCATTATTATTATTATCCGTATCGCCATGGTCATCAGCATCCGCATCACCATTACCACCATCATCCTCGTCGGCGTCATCGTTATCGTCATCACCATCGTCTCCCTCATAATAATCAATAAGATCATTCCCGTTAGCTTCATGATCATCATTGGCCTTTTCATAACTATCCTCAGCATCGTCATCATCATCATTCCCATCATCATTACCATCGACATCCGCATCCTCACCGTCATCATCATACTCAACCATATCATAACCAGCAGCAACATCAGCATCATCACCATTAACATCCTCACCAGCAGCATCTCGTTATTGCCACCCATATCATCATCATTCCCATCACCCTCACCATCCTCATCATCATCCTTATCATCATCAGTATCGTCCTCACCAACCGTAGCATTATCCTCATCAGATTCGTCATCATACTACCATCATGGTCATCATCAACACCTAATCCGCATCAGCAGCATCATCCTTTTCATCAGCGTCAGCATTATCATCATCTTCATCATCACCTCCGTCAACGTCATCCTCAGCATCACCATCATCTCCATCATCACCATCACCATCAGCATCATCA